TTTCCTCATTTATTTGAGGGTGAAAGAGAATGTCATGCTAATTCAAGAAACACAAAATTATTGAAAACTTCGAAAGCGCAATGAGATTCACACATTAAACGCGGTCATTTAACACAGATATCAAAGTTTTCTGCCAATAATGGGCAAGGGGAATCACAATAATCATACAGCTATTAGACAGGAAAAAAAAAAAAATGCTACAGGGAGGGACCACAGGAGCACGGCCGTAGGAAATAAGGGGTGCTGGGAACATGAAAGAGGAGTTTCAATCGGGGGGGAGTATATAATAGAGAAGCAGAACAGTAGGCACTGTGACACATACACCTCAACGCTAAAAGCTAGAAGCACACTGTGTCACTCACACACACACACACGCACACACACACACACACACACACACACACACACACACACACACACACACACACACACACACGCGCGCGCGCGCGCGCGTCCACAATTTCAGGTGTGCGTCACGTACGTAGCCAGATGGGCAGCTCGACAAGCATTGGCCGTTGAACTCATATCTGCGACACACGCCAACGCACGAGCCTGTGGAAGGAGCGCGAGCGAGTGATCATAATGTCAGGGCAAGGCGCCAATCACCATTGATGCATGCATGGCACACGCATGGCACAAGCATTGCACACGCATGGCACACGCATGGACAGCGGGGGGGGGGGTCCACACCTCCCTGGCAGCGATCGTTGTCTGTCAGGGACGAGCCATCATCGCTGCAAGCAAGCAGCCAAGCAAGTGAGCAAGCAAGTGAGTCAAGTGAGCACGTCAGCGTGATCGTGATCATGTTTGCTGAAGCGTGGGCGTTCCATCACTGCCACAGCACTACATCTCCAACACACACACACACACACACACATGCACAGCGATCATGCCCATACCATGGCGTGTTGTCTGGCTCGGTGCTGCAGTCGACATTCCTGTGCCTGAGCGCCGGCAAGAAGCGCAATTACCACCACTGCCAGCAACACAGCAACAGCGAAACACACCCTCCCTCCCCCCCACCCTGTTGTTCCTCCTCAGCCTGATCCTCAGCCTCATCATCATCGTCGTTGTTTGTTGTTGTTTGTTGCGTTCGTGTGTGTGTGTGTGCGAAAAAAAAAAAAGCAGAAACAACAACGACGACTATCAACAACAGCCTGGCCCTCCAATTCCGAACACACACGCGACCAAACACGTACACGTACGCAAAGACGCGAGTGCACACGCGCGCACGTATCTCACCGCCAGCGCTGTTGCCATTGTGATCTTTGTCGGTGCAGCTGGAGCACACCCTTAACCCGCGAGTGGTGCATGGGCGACACGCCTGTCCCGAGACGAACAAGCCCTGTGTGCGACGTGCGCGCAGGAAGACACTGCTGTGGCCCGTGACATGACCACAACCACAACGATGATGATGGCGCAACGCGCGAGTGATGGCCATGGCAGCGGTGGTGCTGGCGGCCTCAAGTGGCGGCGACGATGGACGTGGCTCCTGTTTGCATTCCTGGGCATCCTCGCAACTCAAAGTATGGATTTTGTTTGTGTCTGCGTGTGTGTGTGTGTGTTTGTGTTTGGATGTGTCTGTGGCTAACACACACCACCCATATGTATGCACATACACGCACTCTCTTACAAACAGACAGACAGACAGACAGACAGACACACACACACACACACACACACACACACACACACGCTCTCTGTCTCCTTGCTCGCCGGGCAATGCCAGTTGTGTGCGTCTCATCTGTCTGCCCATACTCCTCACACATGTGCTCATCACACGAATGCACACGCATGTACCCCATCCCCTCCCCCAACAGGTTGCCTGGTCATGCCCATGCCCGCACCATCCAATGCATTGTCACGACAGCCGGCGGCAGTGGGGCAACCGCTGCCATCCACCGCAGCTGCACAAACATCCACCTCTGCTGCAAACGCATCTACAACGCCCAACATCACCACCACAAGCACGAGGCATCACATCCCAGCAAACACAACCTCCTCCACCACCACGCACAGCAATAGCACCACGACCACGACCACGACCGCCAACATCACCACCACCTCAAGTACCCAGGGCAACATGACGACAATTACGAGCACGGCCAATGCGACCACAACGGAGGACACAACCAAACCACACACCACCATCACCACCGCATCGGCACCGTCAACCTCGGCGTCGTCGTCGACCACGACCTCCACGCCGCAGCATTCGCACAGGAGGAAACGGCTCAAGGGCGGCGAAATCTTCGCCATCATGTGAGCCGTGTGTGTGTGTGTGTGTGTGTGTGTGTGTGTGTGTGTGTGTGTGTGTGTGTGTGTGTGTGTGTGTGTGTGTGTGTGTGTGTGTGTGTGTGTGTGTGCGTG